ATGTAATTTTAGGACTTGTGTGGAGAACAGATCATGTTTAGTTCATATTTATGCATAAATATTGAACATTCAAAAGGGTTCCCAAGCTTTTAAGCACCACTGTAGGTTCTCCTTTGTAACTTCTCTATTTTGAGAGCTGCACTGATTACCAGTTACCTTCTGGGTGGTAATCAAGGTAATGGTTGTTGCCTTGAAAATCTTGCACAGGACCCCCTACCAGTGGGTTCTACCTGTCCAGTAAGATCTGAAAAGGGAAATTCTCCCCAGATCCTTCCTCCTAGGGAATGTCATCTTCAGGAAGCCCAGGGGTGTGCCTTCTCATTTAGGGCCCCTTCTTTGACACAACATCCCCCCGCCCCCAGGTTAGACCTTGTTGGTTTTTCAGAAAACCATCAAATGTGGCTATTCCAGAGAGCCTTTGGAATGGAGTTGTTATGAGTGCCATCCTGTAATGCATTTCTGTTTAAAGTTTGCTGTTTCTTTGCATTAGAGGACTTGTAAGTCTTATGTTATTGGTGATGATTATGAATGATGATGATAATGATTTAATTTTTTAATTGTGGAAGGGAATGTAAGCTGCTGAAGAGATTTTTGGGGTTGGAATGGTGTATAAACACTAGTAAATAAATGAAAGCTGTGGAATCAACTTTAAGTTGCTTTATGATGATTGGTCTGTCTGGTTGTTTGCATCTCAGCTGAAAGTCCCAGCTTGAAGATTTTTTCTCAATTGACACAGCTATTTTTAACCGTTCAACTGGAGTGTCCATACTATAAGGTATGATATTAATGATGTTAATTAATATTGCTATTTAAGCAGATGCTGGCTTAAATCTGTACACATTTACTCAGACTAAGTAGCGTTTCATAATACTAATGACCAAATGTAATAATGTTGCTTATTAGTAATCCTCCATATCAGCAATAACTTTGTTGATGTTTTAGGCTGTAGTTCTGTGGGTTTCTGGCCATAGGATATAGCAGGATGGAGAGGAGGGTGTTCATATAGATGCATACTAGCGGGGGAAAACTTTTGCCCCCATTACAGTACTTCTGTGCTGGGGCAAGAACCCAGGGGCATGACATCTGAGTTATATTGCCTTGTACTCAGTGGAGGTAAAAATAAGAGCCTGCTAACATTACTTTATAGGTTTTCCGATTTGGTGGTTTCTCCACTGTAGCTTCTCCTCCTTATTCCTCATTAGGATTGTTCTGCCACCATTATTTTCCTTGTTATATTATCAGTTCATCAGTGCATTTTTAAAACTACTTGCATTTTTACTCATATTTGTTTTGTTAACTGGCAGAAAGCAACTTGGCATATTTTTTTAATAATTGGTCTTTACAGAATCCCGGGCTCCATCTAAATTACCAAGTCAAGTCCTTTCATACCAGATGTGAGTCATTAGAATCCAAGGTAGATCTTCATCTTTTCAGCAAAGTGAAGATTGGCATGATTGACCTCTTGGGGGACCAAAAATATTTTGCCTGTAATGTTCTGACTCCATATCACTACACCATAGGTGAGCAAACTGTGTTACTTTTCAGATAGCTGTGTTTACTTTCAGATAGGTGTGCATTTTTTTCAGGGCTGAATGGGTGGAATGGCCATATTCCAAAGAGTAATGGGTGGGACAAGGACTCAATTTATGTCCATCATATTTACATTTAATTTTTGCTAAAATTAAATGGAATAAGGTTACTCGCCAGTCATATATTTAATTATTTTCCCCTTGTGTCACCTTAACAATTATACTTTCATATTAACTTCTGGAAATTTCTGTTAGTTGCTGCTGGACCTCTAGATGACTTCAGGGACTTGTTTTAGACTTAGGCAATCATTTCCACTGGTGTCATTTGCCTAATGATTTTCATCCCATAGTTTTGGAATTTGTGTGTTCTTCTTCAGAGTCTGTTTGTATGTAGCCTTCATACACAATACTGAAGGTGTACAAACTATGGTCCTAGAACTTCATGTTCATTCAGAACTCCAGCAAGAGTGATCTGCCCTCCATACAGTCAACAGGATGAGGATGGGATGGGGGCATAGTGGTGGTGGTGATAAAAGGTGAAACCATTCTTCTTCTCTTCTCATTGGTGCAAGGGCAATAGACTGTTTCTTTGAACCCATGTAGCCCTTCATTTTTTCAACCATTATCATCTGCATGAAATTTCAGTGTTCTCTTATGAATTCTTAAGATTTTTCAACAGTTATCTTTGTTTCTAGCAAAGTTAAATGTACTTAACAAACAGTGAGGCTGCCCATTTTCCTCAGTTTTCCATGTTGCACATTGATTAAAAATCAAGTTAAAGTATTTATATTCAACTACGAGAATGAATGAAATACAGCAAAAAGACAATTGCAGGGATTGCTATTTTCTTTCTGTTTGTTCCATATAAGATATTGAGATTAAACTCAATGAAGAAGGATTTGTACTACCAGTCAATGCACAAGATGAGGTATATGAAAGGTAAGGAAAACTGGATTGTTGGTAACTGTTTTTAAAAGAGACCTCACAAACCTGAACCAGCTTTTTCAGTTTTTCTTTTCTCATACAAAAATAAAAATTACATAAGATATTTCTAGCATTTCAAATTGTGTTTCTGTTTGAAAAGTTTATTCCACTCTGTCGTAAGTGGCTGATTCTAATTGATTGTGACAGCAGAAGCAGAGCATTATAAATGTGCCAATATTGCTAGAATATCAGCAATATTGTGGTCCAAGAGTTCACGTGTTTTTAGTCTTGCTCAACAGAAGCATTTCTAGAAACCACTGGAAAAAACAGCACGGGTCGCATATTTTTCAGTGTTCATCAGAGTCAGGCTAGTGTTTCTGCTACATTTTTTGCCCCTGCCCCTTCTGGACTCTTTCAGTTCCCTAGGGCTGATTCCCAACTAAGGTGGCAGCATGCCATCCACCATGCTAGCCTGAGAAGGAAGGAACCCCTATTCACACCTTGCTGCTGCAGCAGATGCTACTAGTCCAGAAAAAGGAGACACGTGCTATGGGTTTGCTTTGCTTAGCAAACCACATTTAATTTGCATAACAGCTGTAGACCAGCGAAAACCCACATTCTTTCTGTCCATCAGTCTACGCTCCTGTTTATGCTCCTAACACTAATTGGCTTTGCTTGGAACTGCTTGTTGTACCATTCTCCCCAAAGCAACTTTTGTCATGCATATTTACTCATAGACGTAAGATTATTGCATTGTTTTGTATATTATTAGATGTAAGTACATGCTGTTACAATGTTAAGTGACAATATTGACTATGCCATATAATATCATTGACTGACTTGGTCAGGTTGCAGACTGTTGGCAGTCTTAATGAATTAATTGGTTATGCTTCATTGTGGCTGCACCCCAGATCTGCACTGAACTGAAATATCACATAGGAAGATCCTTCACCTGTTCTAGCAGACTATGGTAAAGTGTGGTGCAGCAATGGGATTTTCCCTGCATGATTTCTTGAAATTTCAATGTTAAAATATTAATAGAGGAAATAGGATCCAGATACAAAATAAGAGCACTACATGCAAAACATTACATACACCAACTTCATACAAAATATGAATCTGGATAGGTGTTTTCTTGCCCAGAAAATGCAGTATCTGAAAAAGTAGGAATGGTCAGCTTTTCCCAACTTGCTTCCTTTCTGATGTGTTGGAGTATATCTCTCATTATTCTCTGTGCTGGTCAGGAATGAGTTGTAGTTCAACACTGTTGAAGGGCATTGACTTAAGAAAAGTTTGTGCTGACACTTTGAATTTGAAGCAGTGATAATATTTTGATTTTACAGAATAGCTCTGTGCATTGATGATGAAAAGAGATTTTGTGCCAATAGCCACAATCTTCTTGGAAAAGAATCCATTAAGCAAAGACATCTGAAGCTCATTGGTTATGTGGTTGTACAGGTAAATTGAATATTACTGCTATATCTGGCTATATTTGGAGGTCCGTATTGATGCTTCATTCATATAAGTTTTTGCTTCTGAGGGTTGATCCAGACTATACTGCTCTTAGTCTCACAGCTAAAGAGTGAACTAAGGGCAAAAATGTGTGTCTCAAAGCAATAACAATACATAAAATGTTACCTTTCTACTGAATTGAATCACTGGAATGTCTACTTCAGTACTGGTTTCAGGTGACCAGAAATAGCTGTCCAAAATTTCAGAGAGGAATCTTTCTTTCTCCCACTTTGAGACTGCCCTTGGGACTTTCTTCATTTAAATTGAGTGTTTCACTTTAAACTATGGCCATAACCCTTAGATGAACTCTTCCCAGTGAGCATAATTGGATTTTATCCTAGCACTTAATATTTCAGCTTTAATAGAAGACAGCTATTATTCAAGACTAAAATCCCCAAGTCTAGTCCCTCTAAGACCTGTTGCCATCCCATTCCTATTGTGCCATATGCCTGGAGCCATACTTGCATCAATAGTTGGCAAAGGATAGGCTGTTTTATCTCTTAGCTCAACAATCCTCAGGTGAAGAAAGTAAATGCAAAGGGGTCAAATGCCCTTTTGTGATAGGCCTGTTCATGTTATTTTAGAAAAGAAAATTTAGGACAGAATTGTTCTGATGTTTTGTTCTCTGCAGAATTATTTGAATAATGGTTTCTTTGTTTCTTTACATTTCAGATCCCATTTTTTGAGTTTAACCCACTGAACAACAAAAATGATGTACTGGATTACCTACACAAGAAAGTATTTCCTAATTTTTATAGTTTCCATGAGTAATAAAGCTGAATCCAAATGAAGCTGAAATATATGTGAAGGCTATTGTTGATTTTGCATTTGGGAAAGATTAAAAATAAATCCAGTGTTTATCCTATTATATGGCTTTGTTTCCCAATGTTGCATAGAAAAAATGTACCAAATAGTAAAATGCATCTAAGCTTATTTTTTTAATGTGATTGACTTCATATCATATTAAACTGAAAAATAGCTGCATTTTTCCCTGATAGTATATAGAAGATCCTGGGAAATGTAACAGACTATTTAGTTTTAAAGGCTGCATGCACATGTATACTTAGGAGCCAGACTCGATGTGACAGTAAACATATAACTTGAATGTATATATGTTTGTTTTTTAAAAATTAACCTACCATAAGAAAGGTTTTTGTAGGGGCCACTGACTGCAAGTTTATCTTTTCCTCCTCTGTTGTCCTGATTAAAATTGACACTCCCTCCTTCTCTCCCAATGCTATTCTGTGCAGAAGCTTCCCTTCTGGGACTGATAGGAGATGCAGATAATTTTGTTTGGCTTATATCAGCTCATGCTACAGCTAATCCTAGTATCTAGTAGCTTTGACAAAAATTCCATTGCAAACAGCAATAGAAATAAAATCATGCAACTCCAAGTGATGTGATTAATGTCAAGGTTTAATGTTTGTACTTGGCACTGAAAAGCTTGTTATGAAGCTGCCCATCTATCAACTGATCTTCATTCCTGATGCACAGCTGATATATTCACGGGTACAGCCTTAGTATATAAGCAGGTTGATAGATATTTTTCTCAGGTTTGTTTGTTTTTTAATGGTGGCTTCATTAGTTAAGCATTCCAAGCACACTGATAAGCATTTTTCCTTAATTACAAAACTGTCAATTAATGAAGAGAAATGAAATTGGAAGGAAAAGCATGTTAAGCAAAAATACATGCTACCAAATCCTTTAGTTTTAATCTTATTAAGAATAAAAACTATCTTTAGCAGATCATAAGAAATGACAGAGGTGGTTATTTTCAGGTTAATACATGGTTACTCTAGTATGTTAAAAGTGTCAAGACACTTTTCTGGGGAAATCTCTGCACAATTTTTCCAGGAGAAAAAATGGAAAGGTGAGTACTAGTATAAGCTGGTAGTCACACAGTATCCTCATGCTTTAAGGGCCTAAAAAAGAAAGCCCTTTTTCAGCTAAAACCCCAGCAATAAATACATGAAGATACTATAATGTTACATTTGAACTGACTTTAAATCCAAGCAGGACACTACAGGAATTTGAGACCATATTGCTCTTAGGTATCTATCACAGTAGATCCTTAAGTTGCATTAACAGTGCTGGCAGCATTTTTCCATCAAACAAGCTATTCCATTTTTTCTGTAGAACTCTGCCCGTACATGATTAATGCGCACATGGTCTCGGATTAGCTCTTCCACAGGTTGGTTTATGCGCCGCCCATATTCAGAAGAGGACAAGACAGGTACAGTCCTTTTTTTTTCCTGTAAGAATATTTTTTGAGATGTGATTTCTCAGTATAAAAACCCAGCTGAGACAAAGAACAGAACTAGAGAAGATGCTTGGTATGGTGTTGCTGGCAGCAGTGGTGGATGTCCTGCATCCCAAATCAAAAGGACCTCTTCCAGATACACTCTGGCTTCCTGAAGGGAAAAGAAGCTTCTCTACCCCTGCAGCTTTGCCCTTTTCAGAAGATAAAAACATTCCCAAGCTATATCCATTAAAAATAGCTAGAGTCCCCTGCAATTCTTTACAAAAGGTAAGTGCTGTTGGGGTATAACTTCTTTCACCCTAAGGGGACTTCTCTTTAAAATGCCTCATACTTTATACAGATTATATAATGTGAACAAGCACTATGTCATTTATGCTACTAGGTATTTTCTCAAGAAAGGATTGTCAGTTTTTTTCTGCAAAATACAGCTGTCATCTAAGAGCAATGGGCATTTGTATAGCACTTTTAGAAGGCTTATGTATGTTATTTTACTTAAACCCACACAACTGACTTCTAATGTTCCATCAGCAATATTTTCCCCATAAAGTATATGCAAAGCTGAGGGGAGGACATACTGGCATGCCTTTCTCAATCCCATTTATTTCAGGGGTGGAGGCAAGTAATCACTAAGTTATCTTCCATTTTAATTAAAGAACCCAACATCTTAATTCTATTTGTATTATACTGATAGCTTGGGGAAAAACATCCTTTCTTCTTCAGTCTAATTTAACTGCAAAATAACTATTTAGATTTAATGAAGGTATTAATCCTATCCATATTTTCACTGAAATACATAGCACTGTTTCCAAATGCTGCTTACTCCTAAATAATGCTTAATTCAGTAATTTTTATGAATTTTCCTAACTCCCAATCTCAAAATATCCCATTGCTCAAATATTTAGAAGTGTGTGGGGATAGATCTATCCCTGACTCAACCAGTGATCTTCCTGGCTGAGGGAGGCAGAATTTGAACTAAAATCTCGCTCTACCAAGAGTTGTGCAATGTAACCCTAAGTGTGTTATTTTGATGCAGCTTAGGGGTACTTACTCTTAAGTAAATTTGCATAAGATCCTAGCTTTAAACTGATAGTTATTACTCCAGTGCATGCTTGCAGAATGCAGTAACTGGCAGCAGCCAGAACTTGGCCATATCATGAGTAAGCAGAAAGGGAGGGTGAGTAGTGATTTTCATCACCCTGAGATTCCTCGACAATCACCTCATCATTAATGTGAAGTCCTTTGCTTTTCGCATGTTCTCTGTCACACCTATGGAGCTTTGCATCATAGCTGATCGGTCTTTTGAACACGCAGTCATACAGGGAAACAATTCCTGGCTTAAAGTAAAGAAGGCAGGGGAAGAAACATCATGGCAGTAATAGTTGAAAGCAATGGAAAACAAAAGAGGTTAATGATGAAACAACATCAGGATCACACTGATGGAACCAAGTCTCTTGAGCGTTCCAATATGCATAAACATTGGTGTTGCCATATGCAGTACTAAATTTTCATAGATGAATAATAATATATATGTTCTCATATCTTCATAAAGAATTGTCTGCTGTCAGTAAGTGACAGGACTTTTAATGAGGGGTTCCCCCCCCAAAACTATAGCACTGAACATTTTTGGAAACAGAGAATCTACAATAATTCCTATCTAGGAGATAGGAATGTGCAAACTTTTCTTTGATGGACTTGCCATAGCCACCATATATATTTGAGCTCATCCAACATGATTAAAAGCCCTTATGCACTGCTTAACTTCTAAAGAGAGAAAGAAGCACTAAGGTTGTGCCAGTGTCAGCATGCCATATGGCTGAATATGACCGTTGGCCCCCAAATTAATTATATTCCTGGTGTAGAGTAACACACTATAGCACATACAAGATACTGCTCATTAATGAGAAAGGTACAGACATACAGCTCTTTCTGACTTCACTAACAATTATACAAACAAGGTGATCCAGACTGAGTGCCATTGTAAAAGTATGTTCCATAGACCACATACTACAAATATTGCATATTGCAATTTGCTATATGGGGCTGAAAGGTTCTGAGCAATGCTCCATTCCCAGCTCCTTTTAATAGGTATTTCCATCATGACACTTGTCTTGGATCCATTGAGCCCCTCCCAATTATTGCACAAAATTTCTGGGCATACCTTGCTCTCCTGGTGAAAATAACTGACTTCAGGAAGGTCCTTGCGTCGGGGTGGGATGTAGCTGAAGGCTGACTGTGCAGAGAGTGGAAGCTGGTGTTGCCTTATTAGTGTCTCATTGATGCCTCCCAGTTCCTCCAACTCTTCCTCTTCGTCCAGTTCTTTCCCATTTTGGGCTCCTTGCATTCCCTCGTGAAGCCCAGTTTGGCTGGGTAGCAGGCTGGATTGCTTTGGACTCCCTACTAATCCCCCACCCAACCCCAGCTGGTGCGTTTGCAGAGTTCTTTGGTTACTAAGAGACCGTCTGAATAAACTATGATGTCAAATCACTTATAAGGGGGTGGGTGGGTTGGAAGTTTGAAAAAAGCTGTGGCTGGGCAAAACAAAGCCTCAGCTGCTCTCCATAGCTGCCATGCGAAATCTGTTTAACAAGTAAAGCGTCTGTGAATCACAGTATTTGTTAGCAGGAATTTCTCTCAAATAATACAGGAATAGTAGACAGATAGAAAGAGCTAAGGCTGTGAGTCTAACTGAATTCACTGTGCAGTGTCTTCTGGATGACAGCATGTGTTTCTTGAAATATGAGACACCTCTGTAAGTGGTGGATAGAGATCACAGAATCTAAGTGGTGGAGTTGATACTCAAAGAGCCCAAAGGGGGAATGAGTTACTTTTCAATTGAAAGATGACAAAAAGTTATTGAACAATGAGGTTAAGAAGCGTGAATGATTTAACATTGTCAGGAGAGCCGTTACTGATGCCTGCATGTGAACAGACTAATAGGATATCATCAGATGTGCTTCGTTAGTAGCTGTTAATAAAAAGCACTGATGGGAAGAATCATATAGCCAATCTCTCAGTATCTATCCATTCCTAAAGGTGTTTTGTACCTTGGTGGAATTTATCCTAGGACATGGAGCTGAGCAACTTGGTAATTTTTCATTTCAGACCACGCACAATACTATTAGTTAAGGATGAAAAGGTAACAACACTGCCTGGTGAAATCCCAGCAAAATAGGCTTTTGTGGTTGAGAGATGTCACTGTTCTGCCAGGTTTCTACTTCCAACTTTTTTAATAGTAAAAGCAGATTAAATTATGGTAAATTGGAAACTAGATTTCCTTACCCTATGTAAATTATTCAGCTTTCAAAACTGACCTTTTTTTAATGTGGGTTTTGTGGGCATTGTACAATATTAGCTGATGTTATTCATCACTAGACAACAGCGTCTGCAGCCCCATTTAGGCAAACCCAAAATGATGACACATGTACAATGACATCATCACATAAATACTGCAATTACATACTTGTGTCTTGCTATCTGAAACAAGTCCATAAGTCCTGGATTTTACATGATGATACTTTCACCCACATTTTGTCATTTCACCCCCACCCCCTTCCCCATGGTGAATTTTTTACTGGGAATTGAATGGCATCTTTTGTTTATATGTTACAGTACACTATATAGTCTCATAAATTATTGTAGTGCATTGTTTTCCATGTTCTCCCATTGTTTTTAGATCAGATTTGTAACAATATTTTGTCCATAAATTATAGTTGCAGCACTTTCCTGTCTAGGATAAATAAGCTGATCCAGGCTTGCCATTAATTTAGACTTCCTCTTTGCAGGTTCAGCCTTTTCTTTTTATGATTCCTAGCGGGATATTAGTGATGAGTGAGTAAGCTGTTAATCGCTCTGGTTTCTGTATCCACAATGGAGATAGGGAGGACTTATTGACTGCCTCTCATCTTTCATACTTTTAATGGTAACATTGAATTAAGTAGCGCTAAGGGGAACTCGCACATGCAAAAAGGCCATTTTCTCACCATAAAATAGAATAAAAAATATGAATTATTGCTTTGCTTACATTCATCCCTTGGTTCCAGAGCCTTATCACCTTTGGCTTTGAAGTATTTAAATCATACACTTCTGGTAGAAGAGTTCAGCTTTGTTTTTGCCTTTGTGGCAGAAAGCTCTCTGATAATGCATAACAAGTGTAATAAACCCACATTTAAAAATAAAGTACATAGAAACCTTTAATGAGTTTATATTACAAAAGACAAGGGCATCAAAACATTTTAACACATTTTATACAAAACTGGTCCTGCTTGTCTATGAATTCCTCTGAGGAAACTATCAAGCCAGAAACTCCATTTTATGTCATTGGCTGCAAGACACAACTAGTGAACACACCCTAGTTGTAAAGATGAAGGGACAGAATTAGATATTTGTAATTATATAATTCAGGATTAGAGGATGTTATAGGGAGCTACCATATTTTTCACGATGTTTCATGCAGCTCTAATTTTATTGCCATAAAGTGCTTTTCTGTAATTTTCTCTCTTTTATTATCTTCTTCATAGCCTTCTCCTCCATCAGACCATTAATTTTTCCAACTCTGGATTTTTCCCTCAATCCTTTACCACTGAAGAGCCAAGAGTACAAATCAAGCTGTCATCATCTCAGTGCTCAGCACACACCTTCGCCATTCCTGGAACCTGATGACTACTGAGGTCTCTTGATGGTGAATGGTGGGATGAGACTGTAGACACCACTACAGCAACATTTCTATACACCAGAAAAAGTACACACATGTTCATGGTGTGGGCTAAAAGAGAGTTAAGAAAAAAGTGTGGGGTGCTTTTTCTCTAAAAATATGAGAACTGTCTACCCTTGATATATTTCATGATGCCACATTCCCTTGTGAAAGGGACTTAGTCATTTCAGTATGTACAAAGTAGGTCTGAAGCTCTCCTTTTCCTTTGACATTAATGATACCCCGGCAGGTGCAAATATAGCCCAATGTTTGTAAGATGTTACTGGTTTCTTCGGTGACCTGCAAAAAATAAATAAATACATTCAGACATTTTAAAGTATGCCTAGAAAACTTTTTCTTCCCTTCCTTGCCCTGAACTATTTGCTGTGAGTGTAGATCAACTGACATAATTGGGGGGAAGGTCTTCAGTATAAGCCTCCCAGAGTCTTTCCTGATTATCTTAATGGGCAAGTAAATGAACAAAATATATTGGAACATATTCACAGTTTGTCATATTTAGAAATCCAATGGAATCAATGGGACTTCACTTGGCCAAACCTGAAATATCATTGAGTTTGATGGGTAGACTCTAAATAGGACCTATAATTTACTGCAGGATCACCTAGGATAAAACTAATACTCTGAAGTGGATAAAGGTTTATTTTATTGTATTCACTTTTACATTTTTTAAAAATGAATTTTAAGTTAACAATTCCAATGGTACCACTGATATATTTTTGTTTAACTGGGTTTCTTCTTAAAGAAAGGAAGAGAAGCTGGGATGAGGAGAGAAAAGGATGAGCAGAAATGGTGACAGACAGGGGCCCTTTATTTGTAGAAAATAAATTTTGGTAGGTATTGCTATTTTTCTCCTTTATAAATTAACTTACAAAATGCTTTTGTAAATGATTAAAAATATAGAAGTCCTGACTCCCTGATCCCCTTTTAATCTCGTCTCCCTAAAAGAAAAACAAAATCAGATGCCACACAAGATTTGTTGGAATAATAAAAAAACAAAACCTGTATTTTATCTAAGATGCCAGTGCTATCCATCCTGCTGGCCACATTCACAGTGTTGCCCCAGATGTCATATTGTGGTTTCTGAGCTCCAATGACTCCAGCGATCACAGGGCCATGATTGATACCTGTAAAAAGAGAAATTGGCTTATTTTGTGCTCTATTGTTTTAATATTCTGCTTTCTGGTTAGAAAAGTTTCCTTAGTTTCTTTCCCAATAAATCAAGACAAATGCAAAGATGCAAATAAAAATACTTCAACTTGACTGTTTTGCTTAAAGAGATGTCAAAAATGTTGGGGTACTTTTCCATCAAACTGAAAACCTGACATTCTCTACAGAACTCAACAGATAAATCATTGATAGTGTGTGATCTGTATCCTAAAATTCAGATCTACCACTATAAGATAAAAAGTATGGAGCAGGTATCTCTGAACTTAAGAAGCAAAAGAGGAAAAGGGGGGAGCATCATCAAGGTTGTGTGTGTGCCGATGGCTTTTCATTCAGCTAAGGTCATTATTGCCGCGGCATTAGATCCCCTTGGAGAAAAGTGGCAAATTGCTGAAGGACAGACTGCATAAAGGAAAGTTTCGTTTGCAACAATATATCTTACTTCTATGTCTATTTGTTCTTCTTTACTGCAGACACTGATGAATAGATAACTAAACACAATCGTTGCACAAGTAAAAAAAAAAAAGGAAACACAAAACCACTGAAAAAATGGGCCCCAAGCCAAGTGATATTCATAACTTATAGTGTCGTATTACAGCCAAATATCAAGACTGCTGGCGAAGACAATCAAGGAGAAAATCATGCACATTAAATTAATATGCTACCCAGAAAAAGCTTTACTAAAGAGTGGAATCAACTGTCGTGGAAAAATCACAGTACAGTAGGACAGGGCCAGCAATTCAACTGTTCCCAGCTATGTAAAGATAGATTCTATTAGCAGAAGGAAATTTCCTTGTATCTGTGCTCTAGGTCTGCTAAGGATATGATGTCAAAACACAGTAGCATGAAAGGTCTGCAGACCTAGATACAGTAAGCTCCTCCAAATAACAAGCTGACTTAACAAGCTGACTATTTAGCTGGTTCCCTAACTCAACTTCAGTGTTGCTTCCATAATCCTATTCCTGTGCCAGATCTCAGGTTTGACCTGTTCACAGACCAAGGCCACCGGCAATTAAGGAAAATATCTATATTGCAATGGCTTATAGTCTACAACCTTCATCCAGGGCTATCAATAACAGTTTAACAGTTAGGAGGAACATATCCTGGGGGCTAAATGTTAATTGTAACCAATAGTTAATTATAGTTAGCTAATCACACCATGCTTTTGTGTGATTGTGGAATGCTTCATTTGGGACAATACAAGAATCAACATTTCTTCAAAAATTAAGATTAAGAGTTTAAGAGTTTTTCAAAATAAAAACTACTTGAACAATACCCTTCACAGAACCCCAATGATTCTCCCTTGCAGTGGAAAAACTAAGTCTTACCTGGCAAGATCCTCGTTTACATCACAAATATTGGATGAGTCCTAATATCTGGTCAAGAATTTTTAAAAACCTATCCCAGACAGTGAGAAGGACGAGCATAATCCTGAAGTGACAGGGATCAGAGCAAACTGCAAACTATCTTGTAATTGGATTGACATTGCCACTTCCCTCATCTCA